GAATTTGAAAAATTTTTATTTTAAAGATTTTTTTAGCCGGGTTAAAACAAAAAAAAAACAGTAAGAATGGTGAGAAAATTTTCAATCAGTCGCCATTTTTTTTTAAATTAAAATTTTCAAAATTCCTTACGTGTGACGATAACTACATCCTTACTGATTAAAAAGCAATTTGAGTTTTTATTTTCAGATGATCCGTTTTTGAGTTATCGAACCGACCATGGAGGGGGAAATTTTTTCTAGTGCTCTACGAGATTGTTAATAACTTTGTAATAATTAAATATTTTTTAATAAAAATTTAGCGTAATCATCTTTAATGTACCCTTAATAAAATAAAAAAAATCCGATCCCCAAATTTCTTCATTTTCCCTGTCAAAAAAATTCCCGAAAATCACCTCTTTTTTTCGATTGTCACAGTGGTGTTCCCCCTTAAGGCGTTACATGGGTTTCACGATTTCAAAAAATCAATTTTTTTTGTCTTATTAAATTTTACAACATCTCTAAAATATTGCCCCAAAATTTTTAACAAAACTATTAGTATACAGAATGCTTATTACGTAGCAATTAAATACTATAACAAACTCCCTGCTTATATGAAAATTATAGATTGTAATAAAAAATTGTTAAAAAAAAGTTAAGTTACTGGGTAAGAAACCTTAATGGTTACTGTGCTTAAAAAATGTAATGGAAAATGCGAGTATTTGATTGGATATTTCTTTTTCTGATAATTATTTATAATTTTGTATTTCTTTTTCTAAAAATTTATTACTTTTTGTACTTATTATCTCTTTGCATTATATTATCGACACAAATTTTGTAAAAAAAAAGTCTATATGTATTATAAAACTGCTATTTTTGTACTGGTCTTATACACAGGTGTTTTTACACCTCGATAGAATTCTTTACCAGATAAATAAATAAATAAATAAATATAGTATATACAACTATTAAAAAAAAAAAAAGCTGGGAAATTTTATCCAAATTTTTTTGTAAAAACGTCTGCCAAAAATCCAATTTTCATTTTTTTTTCCCTCGCTCAAGACCTAATTTGAAGTTTTAACTAAAGCACATATTTTTTTTCACTTCTGATGATCCTGCTAGGAGTTCTGCTGATCACGCGAATACATCTTTTTTCCAACGGCCCGCCGGAAATAACGTCACATGAGCAGAGTTTTTAATATTTTTTTTTTTAATTTCAGTAATCTCTCATTAAGCATGTATCTTTAAGACAGTAAAAAGTTTGAATAAAACATTTCATTTTTTCTATAAAAAAAAAAAATTGTTGAAAATAGGCCATTTTTGCCGGAGGAAACCCATGTAATCCCTTAAGTAAATTTTTCTTGTCTCAAGAAAATAATTTTCTTCAAAATGGTATTCTTGGCTCAAGATTTTGGCTTTTGAGTCGAGTTAATTTTTTATCAGTGTAGATAATTTCTTTAAATACTTAAAAACAATTACCTTGTACATTAATGAAATTAATCCATTGAAGCGTTCAATTAGAATTTTATCCTTAGCTTTAGCTTTCGGATCGCTGGGATATAAATTAGGCTCTGGATGAGCTTCATTCAAATAATCAGCGATTATAAGACTTTCGTACAAAACTTGACCATCTTCAAACTCAATGCAAGGAACTTTGCCAAGGGGACTTTTTTCAATCAGCCACTCGGGTTTGTTAGTCAAATTTACATAAACGACGTCATATCTGTAATTAATATTAAATATTATCCTTACAATTATTACTATTAGTTGTAATTAATTTTAATAAAATATTTACGGAATTTTTTTAGTATCAAGAACGAGATGCACACGTTGAGCATAAGGACAAAATCTCATGCTGTAAAGACGTAGTTTTCCTGGAACTACCGGCGGTGGAACAGAACCTACAAAATTCATTTTGATATAAGTATTATAATTATAATTGATATTTCATATGTCAATTAAATAAATGAATTATAAACTTACCGGTACTCAGATGTTTCACACTCATTTTTTAGATATTTTTATAAAGTACGACTTTTGTTGTTGATACTAACGTTTACGTGTTGACACAAAAATGTTATAAAAATTTTAAGATGTCAGAGTGATGTGTGATGTTTAGAATTAATTTAATTCGTTTTTTATTATTTTTATTTGATGACAACAGGCATGTGCTGCGCTCTAATTATTGATAGCGCGATTTTTAAATATAAAGAAAATTTTTGTTAGATGAAACATATAATTGTTTACTTGATATATATATTTTTCTTTTGTATTTTTTAGTCTATTTCTTCTCATATTGTTTTATATTTTCGATTATTCTCGAATTTTCTAAAATATTCTTGAGATCTTTGAATTTTTTAGAATTCATTAAAATTTTTAAATATTTTTTAAAGTTATTTTAAAAAAATTTCCAAGTTTCAATTTTTTTTAATCAAATTCAAATAAATTATAAATTGTTTAAAATAAAAAAAAAATAACAATAAACAAAATCTATAGTGATAGTAGTTAAGTAATACCTTCGGGTATCTTCGGCTCCACACAACAATTTCGAATTTCAGCCCAATAATATCTATAGTGTCTTCAGTTTGAGCTTCTAGAATAATACCAGCTGGTTAGTCAGATAAATATATACTAACATACACGAATAACCGTGAGTTGTTCAAAACTAAAATTTTCCGAATGTTTTTAGTTGCTAAACTTTCATTAATAGAGAAAAAAATAGAAATCAAGCATCAAAATGTCACGGCATCGAGGTATACGTTCGATGAATTATTCTGATGGTAAGTAACTAGCAATTATATATTTATTATTTAAAACTAAAAATTTACAGGTTAAGTAAAATTAAATAACCATCTGTATCAATATAACAATAAAATAATAATATTGTCTAATGACCTAATTTTTATTTTTAAGAATACGACGGCTATGACGATGTATACGGACACTCTGTAGAAGATGATTACTGCATGTCTCCTGGAGGTAATTTATTTTTTGTTCCACTTTACGCAATCAGCTGACTAATGTTTTTTATTTGTAGCTGATGAATTTTTGTTCGACCGTAACAAGCAGCCGAACATCGCTTCCTTCATCAACGAGCCTGATATTAAAGAAGACAATGAAGATGATGATGATGATGATAACAAAGCTTCAGCTTTGCCCAAAAAACCTGAGTTGTCTGAACTTGACACTGCTAAGCTGATGTCCTGTATTGAGGTGGTGAAAAACGTTATCGGTGACACTGTTCCTGATTCAATACTCACTGAGAAAATAATTGAATGCAATTTTGATGCTGAAGTTGCTCTGGATAATATTCTTAAATCTTCGCCTCCTAAATATCAGTCTGGTAATTTTTTTTTTACTACTAAATATGTGAAATTTAAAATAAAAATTAATTTAGCAGATATTTGATCATTTTTGTAACAAATAATTTATGACAAAAAAAATTATTAGAATAATTGACATGTAGAAATTTTAAAAAATTAAAAATGCAATTTTTATAAAATAATTTTTTGGAACAAATTTGTTTGTTAATGAAAATTAAAAAATTGTCAAGTGACAGCTAAATTTAATGTCATAAATTTAAAAATTATTTTTCCTAATAAATAATATTTTATTTAATTAAATAATTACTAATTGTGTTAATTAATTCAATTTTTCTAATTGAAACAGATGCAGCCAAGGCCAAAGATCGCATAGAAGCACAATCAGGTAGCTATACTGTTTAATATAATATTAAATAAAATAAAAAAACTCTTGTCTTATCAAAATAATTTAATTATTTGTTTCATGTGGGGTTTTGTTCATCGGTAAGGTAAGGTTCCTTAACAATTACATCTAATAACATTAAGCCCAAGTTGAATTTACTGACTAAAAAACCCGGGTCCCCGATTTTCGGGGCTAAAAAAAACGAAACCAAGTCTCCGGGCTTTTCTTCTCTTTCTGACCTGATGGCGAGTCATAAATCTAAAGTAACTCCGGAAAAACCGAAATTTAATTCGTTGTCCGGTTTGATCAGTAACCATGCGAGTGCTAAAGGTTTAAGTCCGAAAAATGACAAGCTCGGTGATAAAAAATCATTTGGTTCGCTGGCCGAGATGACTGCTCATCATTTAAAATCCAACAGTCCATTAAAGAAAAGTACTTTTGTTATACCAAAATTATCTAATAGAGAACCAACCCCGATTCATCTGCCGGGTAAATTGATCAAGTCAGTAGACAATGTTGATGCGGTTAACACTGAGGTTAATAAAGTGGCCTCCAGTGTGAAGAATCTCCAGTTGGAGCAGAAATTTGAAGGAAAAAATAAAGAAAAGAATGAGGAAAAAGAAGAAGAAAAGTCTAATGACTGGGAAATTGATTTAACCGCAGCTCTCAGACAGTCCGAATCATCTGCTAATTATAAAAAAATTAAATTAGCTAATGAACAAGACAATTCCACAAAAAGAAAGGATGGTTTTAATTTAAAAGAACTTTATGATAATATCAATGAACCTATTTGTTCATCGTTGATTGTTGAAAGCGTCGAAGTACTCGAATGCAAATTAACTTCAATTAACTTAAAGTACTCTCAGTTGACTCATTTCAATAAAATGGCATCACCTTTTGGAAAAATGTTATGTAAAAAATGGAAAAGTCACAAACCATACATTGAGAAATCAAAGTCTGAATTCAGTGATATCATTAAACCATTTGATTTTTCATCACCGTCTCCCGACAGTCTTATTCTGGCTAATTTACGGCGATAATTACTGTCAAAATCATGATTTGAATAATTATTGTATATATTTTACATAATTAAAAAATTTTTTTTTTAGTTTGAAACAATTGAACAATAACTAAGTACCTAACAATGTTATTTTTAACAATTAATACTTGAATCACAAAATGCATAATAACTTTGTATAAATATTGAAATTCATGAATTTTATGCGGGTCATTTTTTTTTTTTATAAATAAAATATTTAATAATTTATCTTGTTATAATTGTGTAAACATTATTGATATAATAATAATTAATAATAATAATGAGTTAGGTATCAAGATAAAGCCAACAGTACAAGTAACAACGCCATCAGCGAGAGTCGTAACTCCAGCAAAAGCACGCACAATTACAAAGGGGTTTGATTTGAAGAATAACATTGACAGCGATTTACTGCACGCGCGTCAAGAAAGCCCGAGATCGCTGAGTCCCTTAGAGGCGTCAGCGAACTCTTCAACAGGCCCTAAAGGAAAAGAAGAAGGGTTCAAGAAGAATCTCAACGTCTCCATACCAAATTCACCACGTTGTCAATCACCACAGTCAGGACGCGTTACTCCGGAAAATAAATCTAAGAGCGCTGAGGATAAGCGTGATGTTGCAGCTATTTATAAAGACAAGCGAGGAGACGCTAAAGAGCAGCTGCATCTCGTGGTTGTGGGCCATGTTGATGCTGGAAAAAGTACTTTACTTGGACGATTGCTCTGCGACTTGGGACAGGTTTCGTCAAAGTTGATTCATAAGTATCAGCAGGAAAGTAAGAAAATTGGTAAACAATCTTTTGCCTATGCTTGGGTCCTTGATGAAACTGGAGAAGAAAGGTAATGATTGATGTTTCTTATAGTATGGTTATTATTTTATTATTGAAGCTATTTATTGAGTAATAATTTTTTTTATTAATTTAACTAATAAATAGGGAGAGAGGAATAACGATGGATGTTGGATACACAAAGTTTGAAACTGATACTAAATCAGTAACTCTTCTCGACGCTCCGGGACACAAGGACTTTATTCCAAACATGATAATTGGTGCTACACAAGCTGATGTAGCTTTATTGGTGGTCGATGCTACTAAAGGCGAGTTTGAAACTGGTTTTGATAGTGGTGGTCAAACTAGAGAACATGCTCTTCTTCTTCGTTCATTAGGTAATTTAATTTATCATATAATTAATTTAAGGGGGTATTCTGGTCTAGAAGCCTAAATTTTAGGCATTTTTCAAACTAACATAAAAAAAAAATGAAAAACATTTTTATAATCCGTTTTTTTATATGATGTTTATTGACAGTTCAAGAATATAAAAAAAAATTAAAAAAAAAAAAATGATAAATTTGACAAATTACAGGGCGGTGAAGTGGGGGTTACAAAAAAAACGGTGCACTCTGGTTGACATGATTCCAGCCCTTGTAGTGATATGAAACAAAAAAATTTGAGAAATTCTCAATCTGTAAAAATGTCGCTATCGTGTTGACTATAGTCAAAAAAAAAAAAATTCACAAAATGGCGTCGACATAAAATATCAATTTTTTTTACCCCTTTTTTTTGACCTTTTCGAATTTTTTAAAAATACTCCAAAATGAAATTTTTTGAAATCCATAGCAGACGCAATAGAGAGATATATAAAACAAATTCCCACTAAATTTCAAAGGAATCAGTGGGGTAGAACTTAAGATATCATGTCAACCACTTTAAAAAAAGTAGTTTCGAGAAAATCGCGTTTAAAGTTTGAGAAATATTTAATATTCACTTTGGATTAATCGCGAATCCCAGATCCGTAAATTGAGCCTTCTTCTACTTCCTACTCGATGTTTTGCGAAGTTCTTTCTGCTAATCGAGCTGTTCTGCCTTCTATTGAAGAAGCAGAAGCAGAAGCAGCTGCGTCACAAAATCCTCGGTATCTCCGAAAATAATTCGGATTTTTAAAAATCCACTCAAGGACATATTTTTAAGGGTCTAAACTTTGCAGATATGCGAAAAAAAATAATTCGAATTTTTCAAATTTCTAGACCAGAATACCCCCTTAATAAGGGATCATTCTGGCTCCGGGGTTAGAAAAAAAGCAAATATTCATTATTTTTTCACACAGAAACTATTATAGATATTGGTATAAAATTTATTCTGCTCAACACATATACTCTTGAATAACACAAAAAATATCTAACTTTATTTTTTTTATATTTTTTATAAACAACAGGTATGTCGCTGACGTACTTGATAACTTGATAACGGCTCATCTAAAACACAAAAACCAAAATTTATTTACCTTCAATATATAAATAGCTATTGCATCAACTACGGAGATTAATATTTATTGATAAATAACAGAATGGTTGAGAATTGAAAAAAAAAACTGACAAGTTAGGCTTTTTTCACATTTTTTAGTCTTAATAATATGGTAAAAATCTAAATTTTAATTTGGTTGTAGCAGATGCAATAGCTTCTACTACTATGTAGAAGATATGATTTAAATTTCATTAAGAGTGGGTCAGTAGTTACGGAGATATCATGAACGTCAACCAAAAAAGCATAGTTCAGAGATAAACGCCTTTAAAGTTTTTTTTAACAAAAAAATAAAAAATCTTACCTAAAGTCAATCAACGATGCCGGCACCGTAGAAAATCCCTTTAGCTTTTTTAAAAATTTGATTTTCTTTTACTCGAAAATCTCCATAAAAATCGTAAAATAATATAGTTACAGTGGTCAGATCACTTAGAAATTTTAACACAATACCTGTACACAGAAAAAAAAATGTTTTTGAATCAAGTATATAATTTTGAAAAACTTAATCTTCTTGATTTAAGTAGAAAAATTCTTGAAGTAATATAATTTTTCTTGATTTAAGGAAATTTTACTTGATTCAAGAATTTTTTGTCTTGATTCAAGGCAATTACCCTCTTCAAAATTATTATCTTGGTTCAAGAAATTTTCTCTCGAATCAAGTTAATTTTTTTTTCATTGTAGATATATCGATACTGCTATTCTCATACGTCATATCCCATAAAATTTGACATATTAACTTTTTTTGAATAATAAAATCACAACAATGTTATGCAAGTCATATTACAAATTTAAAGATCAAATAGTTTAATAACTATTTTAAAATAAATATCTTCACCCGTTAAATCCCATTTAATCAATGTTAGAAATAAACTGTTTTTACCGTCTGCGTGAATGTACAGGCCCTTATATTCACGCTGCGTCGATTTATCAGGATTTTTTTACGTGTGAATAGATACTTCTAAATTTTCTAAATGTAGGATACGACGTATTAGAATGCCAGTATCAATATGTACATTCAAAAAATGCAAGAAAAAAAAATTTTTTTCAAAAGTTACAAACCAGAATGATCCCTCAAGAAAAAATATAATATAATATTACTAATAACTAATAATTTAATATCAAAAATTGTAACAGGTGTTTCACAGATAGCAGTGGTAGTAAACAAGCTGGACACTGTAGACTGGTCTAAAGAAAGATTCGATGAAATATCTGAAAAAATGAGCGTCTTTTTAAAACAAGCAGGTTTCAGAGATACCGTGACTTTTGTTCCTTGCAGCGGATTATCCGGAGAAAACCTTGCGTCTCCTGCAAAAGCTCCGGGACTCACGAGTTGGTACAGCGGACCAACTCTACTCAAAGTTATCGACAGCTTCAAATGCCCAGAGAGGCCAATTGCCAAACCCTTCCGTTTGTCTGTTAACGACGTATTCAAAGGCACTGGTTCGGGATTTTGTATTTCAGGTCATGTTGAGGCAGGGATGGTAGTTGTCGGTGATAAAGTATTGCTTCTACCCCGTAATGAAAATGGAGTTGTCAAAGGTATTTATAGTTATAGAATTTTTAATATATAGAATAAAGACTAAAGATATTAAAAAGATAATTTTTTTTCAGGAATACTTGCCGATGAATTGCCAATTACAAATAGCTTCGCCGGAGACAATATCTCTCTGATAATTTCAGGAATAGAGCAGCAAAACATAGGAGTCGGTGACATAATTTGCAATCCTCACAAGCCGATACCTGTAACAACTTGCTTCGAAGCTCATGTTGTTATTTTCTCAATCGCAATGCCCATTACTAAAGGACTTCCAGTAGTACTTCATTCCCAGTCGTTAGTAGAACCCGCGGTTATTACAAAGTTAATCGAGCAACTCCACAAAAGCACTGGGCAAGTTATAAAAAAGAAACCGAGGTGCTTGCCCAAAAACTCCAGCGCTACTATTGAAATTTCAACTCAAAGACCAATTTGTCTAGAGCTCTACCGTGATTTTAAACAACTCGGTAGAGTTATGCTTCGCTTATCCGGTACGACAATCGCCGCTGGGCTTGTTACAAAAATAAAAAATAAGTAATTCATTTTATATTATACATTGCATACTTTATAAGTGTAAGTTAATATATCGTTAAACCATGAATAACATTTGTAAATACAAATACAATATGTTTAAACTTTAAATTAATCGATTTGTAAAATGAATTTTTATATTTTGATTTTAAAAAATAAAAGTATTGCGGTAATTTAATTTAAATTTTTACATTCGCGGCTGCTCCTCATTGCCTGGAATGTAAATTAATGTTTGCTATTTTTTAATTATCCTTGACAACTTGTGCATCCACCAGGAACATTTGAAGGAGGTTTTAAATTCAGTCCATGAATTTTTTTCGATGTAGGCGGACGTGGGGGTCTAGATAATGATATAAATATTATTATTAGGTCAAGTCTTATCTCAATAGTTTTTTTATTTCTTATAATTATAACAAAAAATAAGTACCCAGAGCCTGGACGGTAACTCCTGGTGTATCCATCTCCGTATCTAGTTGTTGATGGGTTGATTAAAGTTTGGAAGCTGAACAATTGATGAAAATTAATTTAATGAAAATCAATTCAGCAAATATTTGATGATTTTACGAATTTTTGTAACAAATAAATTATGGTAAAAGAAATTAGAAAAAAAAATTATTATTTAAAGATTTATAAAAATTTTAAATGCAACTTTTTAAAAATAACTTTTCGGAATGAATTTATTTGTTAAAAAAAAATAGTCAATTGATAATTTTTTAATTTTATCTAACAAAAAAATCTTTCCTGAAAAATTATTTTAAAAAAATTGCATTTATAGTTTTTTAAAATTTCTACATGTCAATTTTTTTTTCTCATTTTTTTTGCCATGATTTATTTGTTAAGAAAATTCTAAAAATTATTTAATATCTACTAAATTAATTCTCATTCAATGTCATTTAATTTAGCATATATTTTATAATTTTAAGAATTTTATAACAAGTAAATTATGGCAAAAAAAAAATTAGAAAAGAAAATTGACATGTAGAAATTAAAAAAAATAAAAAATTCAAATTTTAAAAAATAATTTTTTTGTTAAATAAAATTGAAAAATTTTAAAGTGACTGCTAGCTTTTATGTCATGAAAAATTGTCTTAAAAAATAATTCAATTTTGTGGTTAATAATTAAAAAAATATTTCTTATTAATAATAACTTACAACATGGCCACTCCATAAAAAATCCCGCTGAAAAATCCGAAAATACTGCTGATGCCCCATGGTTTACTTTTGAGGACTTGTCCATCTAAATAAAAACATTGAAAGTTATTCAGCTGGTTGTCAAAAAAGCAAACAAGTTATTGTAATAATTATTTACCTCCTGACACATATGTCATGGTGTTAATGGTGTTTAGGTGATTTATCAAATTTATAAATAAAAATTAAATATAAAATGATAAATTGTAAATTGGATCTTGAAGACACGTATTTCCTTGCTATTTGTTGTCGTAGTTTGTTGCGAGTTAATTTTGACGTAATTGCTATAAAAGATAATGCTCGAAGGTTCTTTGATAAACTTAGTACCTGCTGTCACCACCAGAGGTAACGAAACCACCAATCAGCACGCTGGAGCCTCCATGTAAGCATTAGCGTGAAAAATTTAAACGCTAAATACTAAATAATTAATCGAAACATTTTTATTGTGAATATAAAACTTACAAAACAGAATATGATTTATGATATATGATACATATTCATTCTAAAAATTTTTAAGAATTGTGTGATTGTATTCTAAGAATTATTTTTATAAAAATACCACCCTTGGCACGCACAGTCACTCGGAATTTAGTTACTACTTTTTCTATACCTGATGAGACTAACTCCATAGTTGACAATATCTCAGTACTTTACTGATTATTTATTTTATTTCGAGTAATGCGAATTTATTTCCTGAAAATTTGAGTGTTTAATATTTTATTTTGTGATATTTAAATTATTTTAAATTTTACTTAAATTTAAGTATCTTTAATTTGGTATTCAGCTTTCAATAATTTTGAATACTTGTGCCTTTTTTTACCCGCATATTTTAACTATAAACATAAAAAAGTTAATTGTATAACTTAAATACCTATTTATTCACCTCAAATTAAATAAAAAAAAAAAATTAATACTTTAAAAGATGAAAAATTATATAACTGAGCATTTTATTTGTTAATTTTTGAAAAAATGATTTGCTGATAATATACGAACATTTTAATTAGTAATAATTAGATTTTTTTCTCAATTTATTTATTTAAAATTAAATTATTAGATAGCCATTATTCAGTGAAATAATAATAAATAGCGAGACATATATTATTTATTACAAAAAATTTTTATTTCAAAAAAATCAAAGTCGTACTTTCGTTTTTTCAATGACGGTTTCTCGAATAACTGCTTCATTCCAGCAAATTGATTATTGTGGAATTTAAAATTTTGGGCTGTCTCAGATCTTCAAGAGGAATCAAATTGTGTAGTGTCTTGATCGACCAAATGAGTATATACTTGGTCCGTCCACTGCGCCCAAAGTTTTTGTCCTGCATAACTTAAGGTAAAACAGTTTTATCTTAATGATCCTCCAGTGGAGCTCCAGTATATACTTTTTCATTACATTATCTTTTTTATCAAGATAATATAGACCTAGATATTGGCGTACGTGTGTAAACACATACTTTCCTATAGTGACTTTTTCAATGATAACTTCTGGATTAAGCTTAGCTTCGTGTTGACGTTCTTCTTCAGTTAAGTTTCTGATTCTTTCTATTTCCAATCTTCCACTCTCAGTGGCTTCACTTTCCTCTCGATCTTATTTTATTCTTTTTAACTCACGGAGTTTCCAGGCTTCGTACTCGACTTCATCATTCTCGTCGTCCGTACAAACGTCCTCAAGTTTACTTTCTGTTGAGTCCGCTAGCTTATTTCCTTGAGTTTCTTCGTCTTTGATTATTTCCTCCTCGGTTTCTTTCTCGGATAGCACACGTTGTTTCAGCGCCTCAAGTCTTCGCTCTATTTCAGTATCAGATAACTCCTCATCATCTGAAGAATCAGAACTCTCGAGTTGGATTTCCTTCCGCGCGTTCGTCATCTCTGTTTCAATAATTTCTGGCTCCTGGATGTGACGATGTCTTTTGACGATTGTTTCTGATTCATCATTAGATTGATGGCCAAGATGTGTCAATCTCCAAATTATTTCCTGCATGGTTAACCATTTGTTGCCAAATATCCCTAACCACATTTAAAAAAAAATTTTCATTATTTCAAAATTTTTGAATGGCCTATAAAATTAATAAAAATCTTCATAAAGTATAAGTGCTATATGTCAAATTGAACGTAATATAATCAGCTTCACCATAAAGTTTCCAGAAATGAGCTTTTTTCTGTCAGTCAAAAGTTATTCACGGTTATAGTTACAAAACTTGAAATTTACAAAAATTTGAAAATTTTAAATGGCCGCCATTTCTAAACTAATTGACCGATTTTGCTCATCTTCGAACTCGACCTCGGTAATTACTCAAAGAATATGTTAACCAAGTTTCATCAAGATCGGTTGAAAACTTTTCGAGATATCCTGATGACAAGGCTGGTTATATTACATCTATATATATACATACATATATAAATTTTTCAACCAATGGTATTTTTGGAATCTACTCGACTAATTATAACATATGATAGCAAAATCAGGTGAAAATTTCACCTTGAGGACTAATGCAATAGTTAGATTTCTAAATAAATCTACCTAAAAATATACTGTGATAACAATAATTAAATACATAAATGATCTTTTGTTAATATAATTTGATGACCACAATAATATTTATAAAGTCTTAAGAATATTTTGATAAAGTCTTAAGAATAAAGACCCCTGTTTAAAAAAAATATTAAGAACAATGAAAACGCAATTGAAAAGAATTACTTACAAAACGTTGCAATTCAATGATTGTTTAAATTGATTTAACTATGTTTTTCCAACTACCCGTGATCCTAATATTTGTTATTTATTCATCTGGAATTGAACCGTATTAAAATGAAGTTACATCAGATCTTGATGTATCAATGTAAATAAATGTAAATATTTGAGTTTTTTTTCTTGAAATAAAAATTTTCTGTAACCAAAAATGTTTCACTATGCATTATTATTTCAAAAAAAGGAAAAAAATGTACTGTGCTGACTTAAATTAAAAAATTATAATTTGAAGTCAGTATTGATATTAGCAGTGTCAACCCGCTGACGAAAAATAACATAATAAAAATACGTAAACATTAGCAGCTTTTTTTACCCATTTTCAAATATTTCCATACAAAAATCTTTTCATATTTAGTTATTTTTATTTTAAATATAAATGAACTTATAAAGTAAAAGAAAAGAAAAAAGTTATGATACCGAAGTTAGCTGTCAACTATAAAAATTTTTATAGCAAATCAATTATAATAAAAAATGCTTTTAAAAATTTTTACTTGTAACTTTTATTAATTTTCACATGTGAAATTTATAATTAAATTTTTTTTATAATAATTTAATTGCCATAAAATTCCAAAAAAATTTTTAGTGTCTGTCAACTTCAGTGTAATAAAAAATTTGCATATTTAAATGGGAAAATTTGTAAATTATTTATGAGATTCCATGAATCATTGCCAGTAATTCAATTGATAATTTTTTTTTTCTTCTTTTCAACTTTTCAAGTGGTAATTTAAACTTACGCATAAGACTTGCATTGCTTACAACCTGCAGTTAATTTAGCATTAAATCTTAAATAATATAATGTAATGCAATGCTTTATTTAATTGATCGTAAGACTATGTCCCCTGACGACCATAAGGCTACAAAAATAATAATAGTACAGATTCACTCGAAGGTGCTATAACAATAAAAGAGTAGTAGTATAAGAAGAATATAATATAGTAGTATAATAGTAGTCTTAGGTCTCTTAGTTTTCAATTTCACGGTTTATATAATAGAATTTCAGTTATATTTTTTTTTTAAACTTGAAATTAAAGATTAAAATTTTTTATGACACTGAAGTTAGCAGACGTCTAAAAATTTTTGAATTTTTTTTTTATAAAAAATTGCACTTATAGTTTTTCAAGTTTTTAACATGTGATATTTTTTTTTTAATTGTTTAATTGAAATTTTTTCGATAAAAAATTTCTAAAAATTGTTACATGTCAGCTAACTTGATTTTCATAATTTTTTAAATTGCTCTTTACATTTAATTCGATAGTGAAAGATAATAATAATAATAATAATAATAATAATAATAATAATAATAATAATAATAATAATAATAATAATAATAATAATAATAATAATAATAATAATAATAATAATAATAATAATAATTTGCGCGCGCGCAAGCAGCTTCCATCAATCGATCAGCCAGGTTGTTCGCTTGCCTCCTCAGTTCAGCTCTGCACGATGGTTCTCAAAACCTCCGCACCAAACACCCACTAGAGGGACTGGCGTCTCATTCTCAACGCACCCGATCTCCAGCGAGATTTGGAGCATTGTCAGCTTCTCAGCATTTTCGTTTTATAGCCTCAATACAGACACGTAAGTGTGCATAGTGTATGTTGCTGTGTTAATTAAAAAAAAATTACTGCAAGTGTAAGGATCGCTCCGTTTGACCGTTTCGAGTCAAAAAAGCTTTCCGAGGCAAGACCTCGACCACAAATAAAAACCCTAAAACAATTAATAATAGCAATTAAATCGTAAAGTCGGCTGGCAAGTGACAATTTCTTATGGCCAGAGGCCGAGTAAATCCTTGAAGTCGCTCCAAAAAAGCCCTCGGCACGGCTTTTTTTTTTTCTTGTTGCTTTATGTTTTATTATTTTTATTAAAAACTCACAGTTTCGGGTGTTACGTTACGATTGTTATAAATTCAGTCAAACCCAAGTTAAAGACACACTTGTCTCACTTTATTGTGAGGTAATTAGCCCGAGGTAAATGGCTTATAACAAAGGGAACAATTTATCTAGTTTACAATATATATATATATATAGATAGAGATATATACAGATAAATGTTCGTTGACATTCTAATATTTTTTTTTATCCCCAGTAACAATTTATCGAGATTGTAATCAGCCAGGATGACTTCAGAGACAAGGGACGCTGTCAGCAATGTTGAGACTGAGTTTTTGGAGATTAATTCCAAGGGAGCGTGGGCTATTTTGTATCAGGTATAAAATTTATGAAAGGATTTTCAATTAATAATTTAAAAATAATAAATATTATAATTTTTTTTTTTTTTATTTATTTTCATTATAAATATTTACTTTAGTTACAAACAATGTTATTAACTGGATTTACTAGTAGAAAATTCAAATTAAATAGAAGCTATTTTAATCTAATTCTGTAATCTAGAGTGTATAATCTGATTGTCAGAAATCCAATTATAGGTCAACAACAAATTGGATTTAACAATAAACTAATAAATCAATGGTTGTTTTAGATTTTTATTTAAACAACTGTTGGTACACAGTAATTAACTTCAAGAATAAATAAAATTAAAATAATAATTATAATAAAACTATTTTATACTCTAGATGATTAATAAATCGTAAATAATACGACATCAACTGGTTAATTACTCTCGAGTATATTTTTAGCCTTTGTAATACCGTTAATTCCAATGACTCATAAATAATTTAAAAAAACAGGGGAAATATAATGAATGAAAATAATTGTTAACTTCTATTAAATTACGTGGATTATTTTAACACAGTCAACTTTATTTTTAAGTATGTCCGGTTGCGTGGGTGTTAATAATATATGATTGTAATAATTGAATACATAATACACTAGTGTACTGTTGTTAGTTGATGTTTTTTTTTTCTATTTATTTATTTATTTTTTTTTCGAGAAACTAAACAATGACTTATTTATATTCATATATTTGCGAATTATATGTTCTTTAATTTAACATTTTATGAGGGTGAATAATTCATGTTTATTTATTTCAGCAAATTCGCAATGAGTCGAGTAATTTTGATTACTCGTGCAATGAGTCCAAGAAACTGCAAAATAAAAATCTTAATCGGTACAGAGACGTTGCGCCTTATGATCATACAAGAGTCGTTTTACATAGGGGCTCTTGCGATTATATTAATGCGAATCTTGTTAAGGTAATTTATTAATTTAAAAATAAACAATAATTTTTTTATTTAACTTATACTAATTAAATTTTTCAATAGATGGAAAAAGCAAACCGGCAATATATTTTGACTCAAGGACCATTGCCATACACAGCTGGACACTTTTGGTTGATGGTTTGGGAGCAAAATTCAAAGGGTATTCTTATGTTGAACAAAGTTATCGAAAAAGAGCAAGTTAAGTGCCATCAGTACTGGCCCCTCGGTGGCTCCAACAGCTCTATGACATTTCCCGACGTTAATTTAAAAGTGGAATTTGTTAAACGGATCGAAACTTCTCACTATACTACTAGTACACTGAGGTAATTCTTGGAATTCAATTATTTCATACCAATAGGCTTGTAGGGGAGCGTCTCTCTAAACAACCACTATTATTAGATTACGATATTTAAACTTTTTATTGACTTTTTAAATAGATTTAACTAAATTGAATAAACTCTAAAAAATTTTTCAATTCATCTTAAAATCACAATAATTATTTCGCGTTAACTAATGCCAATATAGGGGTATAAAAAAAATTTTTTTTTACTCCAACTAACCTAAAAATGTTTATAACATATAGATTCTATAAAAAAAGTGAATAAAAAATTTTTTTGTATACGCCCTTTTGGCTCTAATACAAAAAAATTCTAAAGCCAAAAGGACGTATTTTTTTTTTTTTAAATTATAATTATAATTAATTATTAGCCATTAAAAAAGGAGAAAAGTTATAACACTGGTAAAAATAATAACTCTTCGACTCATTTTCTTTTAAGAGAATATATATTTGATTAATGAAGAAACTAAAATATCAATTTAGCTAGGCACTACTCCGTTGCTGTCTCCACTATCATTATCTTTTGCTTCTGAAAGTAAAAAATAATAAATATATATTGCTTGTGAATTTAAACTTTGAAAAAATACTTTAATTTTAAAACAAATTCATCAGTTGTTACCATCATCAAAGCACAGATTTTTGTAATATTGATGGTATTTTTTTGGAACTGTGCCCTTTTGGCTCTGTAGATGTTGAGATGCGCCTTTTTGGCATCAGTAACTCGATTTAACCTATACTAATAAATGGAGAGCCGGTTTTTTTTTTTTGTTCGGTTATACTGCGAAAACTACTGAACCGATCGAAATAATACTTATACCATAAGATGCAGCGTGTTTCGAAGAAGGTTTTAGTATATGATATGTTGGTGATTACTTATCTGGAACCTATATTTTTTTGACTTAGAAATAATGAATTTTTATTGTAACTAAATTTATTCTATTTGATTGTCATTTATTTAAAATAATTTTTTTTATTATGTTTATATACTCGGCGGATTTCTTCACTTATGAGACCTGCAATTTCTTTAACAGAAACTTTCAATGCTCATGACAATTTTTTTTTTTTCATATCAATTATTATTCATTTTTGTAAGAAAGACACGGGAATGTTATAATGATTGCACATTCAACGTTACAATGAATATTAACTAGAATAGTTATATGGGTAAAAGGTGCATGCCAATTCGATAAAATTAGGAATCTATGCAAGTCAAAACATTAATAAAATTTAGAGTCTAGATCCAAGAAGGCAATTCTATAAAGCGCCCAGCGGAGCGGGCGAGTAACAGCTAGTTTATCATATAACGAAATAGATATTTCAACTTGTAAAAAATAATTACTCGTGATGTCAATTAACTAGAAGTTGATAAGATATTGGGAAATCTATCTCGACCTCACTGATCTCAGTATTCAATTATTTTGCGATAATCTCTGTTGACATTTATGACAATTACACAATAGTTTAATCACAATGTTCTTGGTTTTATAAATATATATTTTTATTTGTTATCATAGTATTTATAAATAACTTTTTATTTATCATTATTAATAATTGTTATTGATGAATTAATATTGATATTTTCAGATTAACGGATTTAGATTCAATGAAAAGCAGAGAAATTTTACATTTTCACTACATCACATGGCCCGATTTCGGAGTTCCTCAAAGTCCCGTGGCATTTTTACGGTTCTTAGTTGATGTCAGAAAATCTGGCGCTCTTGACTCAAATGTTGGGCCACCAATTGTTCATTGTTCCGCTGGAATCGGTCGTTCGGGAACATTTTGTCTCGTTGATACTTGTCTTATTTTGGTTAGTAATGAATTAAATTTATATAAATTTACTGATAAAAAAAATTAATATTTATAATTATTGATAATAGATCGAGAAAAATGGATTAAATTCAGTAAATGTAAAAGAAGTTTTGCTGGAAATGAGACGGTCTCGTATGGGGCTTATTCAAACACCCGATCAGCTTCGGTTTTCATATGCAGCAATAATCGAAGGAGCTAAACAACTGCCTTCTAATAACGTGGTAATAAATACCAATTTACAGTAGTACATTGCTTTTACTTAATAAATTAATCGACATATTTGAAAGCTTTGTACTACTATTTGATTTAAAAATAACTTGATTTTTACTAATTAAGTTTTAACTTATTTGGTTACAGAATTTGGACGATAGTATTGAAATAATAAATCACTACGATGTCGTGAATAATGATATCATGAATTCATCTCAAGAAGAAGATGATGAACCACCACCATTACCTCCTCCTCGCGGCGACAGTCTTACAAGAAGTATGATGTCTGATTTGACACCTAGCCCTGTCTCGGAAAATGGTAATTTTAAAAATTTTTTTTTTCTATTATTATTTCCTCAGAAATAATATTTTAATAACAAAAAAAAAAATTTAGAAAACGGTTGACCCTTAAGGCCATCCCTGAAACTTCCCGCTAATTCCACACTTAAACGGTCAAAATTGCACTTATTACTTTTTTGAGCTCTTTGAGCTTAAAAATATAATTATCGTGTCATTTTGAGCTCTCCGAGCTCAAAAGTATGATGGAAGTTTAATAAGACACTATTTTTTGAATTTTCAAACCACGATAAGTTTTAAATGAATGAACCGATTTTCAAATGGCGGCATTCGACGCAGTTTTTGAAGCATCATAAAAAATTCTTCAAGTTTAAATTGATTGAATTAGAAATTTCAAAGTAATTCCTAAAAACACTTTTTTCGGTTTTCTTTCGACAACGATAACTCACGAACGTATTAACCGATTTTTACTGGGCTAGTAGCTATCGATGTAGTTTTTTGAGGTTAAAAGCTGATTAGTTTTTTTCAATCAATCGGTGAAGCCGTTTAAAAGTTATTACAAAAAACCACATTTAAAAAAATTTTTTTTTGATTTTTTAAGATTTCTCAAAATCTACCGGTTCAAATCGCTCCATATTGTATCCAAAATTTAATTTTGGTCAAGTTCCTTTGAATAGCACCAACCACTATGAAATCGGTCTAAAATTTTCTGAAATTTTGTAAAATTTTTAATTTTCTTAGCGGGAAGTTAAAAAATCTGCAGTACGAGAATTATTACCTGACAAAATAAATAATTTTATCAAATTATTTTTATTATTTAGAAAATGGAACTGGTCCTCCAAATAAACCATTACCTATGGAACCACCGATATTAATCGATAATATTAATAAAATAACAACAAACTCAAATAATGTACATGAAAATAACGTTGATGCGGCAAGTGAAGAAAACAGCGAAAATTCATTACTTAAAGACAGTTCTCCACGTAGCGATACATCAGACACGTAAGTTTATTTATTTAAATCATATTAATTGCCAATAAAAAATGACACTGTAAAAAATAACAGGTGTGGTATTTCCTAGTAGATAATTGAATTTTTAAAACCAAATCTTGTTTGATGTTTGCAATATTTTACTCAGAATTTAAATTTAATATAATTTATACCACATCAAAGAGTAGTAATTTATTACAGTGTTTATTTATGACAGTAATACTAGTAATGATATCAATGATATTTATGAACTGGTAATTATAACTGTATCATTATATGAAATTGAATAATTCTAGGAAAAATGAATTACGTCAACGTCACCAGGAGAAGAAAGATCGACTGGCGAAGCAGGTGCGGGAAATGAAACGTCGCCAACAGCAAACGGAAAATTGGCAAAATTTCAAGAGGTCAATATTCAAGCCCGTAACACTAGGCATAGGTACCGTAATAATCGGTGGGGGCGTTATCGCGGTTTGCGGCTATCTTTATTTACGTGGATAAATAGTTTATCTTAAAGGATAACTATAAACTCATAACATAAGTAATACAATATTTTAAAACGAAATCAAGGTTACGTGGATCAAATTTTATCGAGCTTTTATTTAAAATAAATAAACAAGCTAATCAATTAATTAAATAATTATTGATTAATCGGTTAGTTGATAAATTGAAAAATAATTAAAATAGGTACAGAAAAAAGACCAATGGAGTTTTTGAAACCATACTTTTTATTTACAAGCTGCTATAAGCTATGATCCACGTTTTAATGAGAGGAGGGACTGATAAGAACGAAACAAATGGTAAACTTGATAAAAATGATAATGATAACAATAGTGGTCATTAAGGGTGAAAGAAATGAAAAAGAAGATGAAGAAAAAAAAAAGGGAATTTTACACATAAAGAAAAAAATTTTCGTATTTGTATTTTTGTATTGTGATCCATAACCGATGAGTCTGTAGAATATGTAGAGAATTATTTTCTGCAGTTGATTGATTATTTCTTCAAGTAATTTATGATACGATTTATAAAATAAGTGATTAAAGGATAAAGTGTTTTATGATGAAAGATTTAATAATTATTGATTAAAACTTGACGCGTTTACGCAAATATATATATTTTTTACTTTTTTTTTTTTTTTTTTATTTTTTTTTTTTATATATATATATATATATATATATATAATACCGGTTTTATTAGGACTATTTTAAATGAACAAAATCGCGTTATTTCGCTTACTTGAATTTTATTTTTAAAAACCTAATCGTATTATTTTAAAAACAGGGAAACAATGAATTTGTATTGGCGGTATTTAAACAAACAATGAAATTTAATTTCTATAAAAATAAAAAAATTATTAATAATTGTAGTCATTAGATAAAAATAGAGTAATAGTTATACTATAGATTTGGATAGTTACTTTTGTATCAACTCTTAGGCTGCGTATAAAAATGTTTCCCGATACGAGTAAAAATGAATAATTGAAAATAAATAATAAACTAATGATATAATCGCGTAGAGACTGATCTTACAGATAAAGGTAAAGAGTCATTTGTTTATTTGTTGATTGATAAATACAGAGGCTGTCCAACGACAAATGGGTCTTAAGTGACAATTAATTTTCATGCTGCTCCCATAAATTGTAAAATTTATTCATAAATCAACATTCCGATGCCATAAAAGCTCACGGTGCTAAGCAGTGCTAAAATAATTACAATAATAATATTAATATTAATAATTATAAATAAGAAATTATATAACGCGGGGATAATTAATTTTAATATCTAAGTGTCTGATATAAAATACATTAGAAAAAAAAAAATTAAGAATTTTTTCTACTTCGATTTACGAATAAATTTTTATAAAAATTTAAATGGATCATCTTGTTGCATTTTTAATTGACGCTATTTTAAATAAAAATATTAAAATAGAAATGCAGTAAGTGCCTAAGGAAATTTAAAATTAAAAATACACAAAAAAAAATAAATAAATAAATAAAAGGACAAGCGAATGATACAGAGCTGGTATGAATATTTATTATTTTAAAAATAGTATTATGTATGTCGATTATTTTAAAATATTTTTGTATCCAGTTTTTTACGTTTTCGTTTACTTAGTTTTAACAATATGTTGTAAAATTTATCCCCGTAGTCGCGTTTATTAGCGTTTCATTCCATTTTTATTCATCAGTGGGTGAAAAAATTTATAAGTTTAAAAATGATAAAATATTTGGGACGGCACGAATTTTTTTTACACGTTAATAAAAAAAAAAAAAAAAAAAAAAAAAAAAAAAAAAAAGAACAAATAATAAAAAAAATTTATAATTAAAAAAAAATATTTTTAATAAAAATTTTATTCAACCCCCGCGGCAGAGAAGATTTAAATAATAATTATTTATTTAAGTCTTCTCAAATTATATTATATTTATATATTAAGTTAATAAATAAGTAAAAATAAGTTGTATATTCATTTGAAAGAATGACTTTTTATCTAGTAAATTGATTTCAGATCAAAAAGCGAAACAACGGAATCAAGTGAAGTACAGGAGGAAGCTGAATCTACTTGATGATCAAAATAAAAAGAAGAATAAATTATTTTTTACGTTTAAAAATAAAACTTAAAAATAATTATTACTACGTAAAATATATACGTAAAAAATTTTTTATCACTGGCAGCGAAGACGCCGGTGTATTTATTTAATAAAAAAAAATTAATTAATTAATTAATATTAAATATCTTAATGAATTAATAATAAACAAAATAAGCAATAAAATAGCAAAAGATTAATTTAATTTTCATCCTGCTTCTTCGCTACGCTATGTAAGCTCAGTATAAAACAAAAACTTTATATTTTTTTATTTATAAAAAAACAAAACAAAATTACATATATACATAATGAAGTTATCTGGCCGATAGTCAATTATTAAATTAAATCAAAGACATTAATTGTCTCGAATTTTATATTTATTATTTATTAATTTACATTTTACAAGAATTCACTAGTAATTTAGTGTTTAACAAAGAGATTATTTGATTGATGATATTCTTCGCGCCGTGGACTTACCGTCTAATCAGTGCGGCAACCGCGCTAGGTTATGGTGAAGTCCTTCTCAAGGGCTTTCTTCCTCTGGATCTTTCTACCTCTGATGATAGTCGCCTTGGTCGCCCAGCAGGTCGATTCTAAGGGTCACCACCAAGGTCATTATCAGGCGCATCACCCTAAATGTCATCATGTTCACAAAAAATCGGTGCATTCGCAGGCCATACGGAACAAGAGATCCGAGCTGTCAACCATCCAGCCCTTCAGTAATTTTTTCGTTAATAAATCTGTGGCAAAATCAAGCTACGAAAAATCTCTAACAGACTTGGAGAAATTATTCGGGCCAATTCCCGAGGAGCTTTATGACCATATTCGGGTGAAGCGGAATAATTTTAACAATGTGAACCATCTAGCATCCGGAGGATCATCAGCTTCTTCGGAGTATTTGAAGAAATTGGCAGATTCTTTTGCCGGGCCGGCTGAAGTTGAAAGTGATGAAGACAACTTGGATGAGCAGTTGAAGAACGACAAACAGGTAGAGGATGTGAGAAAAAAACGAGAGGTAGATGAAGAAGAAATTATCAATTTTTTCCCGGAAAACTCGCCAGTGGTTAATTTGATCCGTACAAAGCGCTTTGGAGATCCGGATAAGAGACTTTACTTGAAGAGGAACCGAAGAAATAAACTTGAAAAGAATATTAGTAACAAAAGTAATAAAGCGGCGAGATTGAAACGCAAGAGTAAAGTTAAGAGCAATATTAATTCAAAAGTTAAGAAAAGTATCAAAAGAAAAAATAATAAACCTAAATTAAAGTTAAAACGGTGCTCGAAAAATCATAAAAATAAGAAGAAACATGATGAAGATAAAGCGAGAGTTAAGAGACGTCCTGAAGAGTCCGGGGCCAGACCTTTGTCGTCGCTTGAAGAAATAAGAGGCCTTGCTGCGAATCTTGTTTCAAAGGTTATTAACACTAGAGAGTATTAAAAATAAATAAATAAATAAATAAGAATAAATAGAAAGAGTAAGAAGAAATTTAATGAATAGTTGTATTAAGTTTTTTAAATAATTTATTTAAAGGTCGATGAGCTCGAAGGATCGATTAAGATTAATCGACGATCGGGTAGGAATCCTCATGGGTATGCATCCGGAATCAGCAATTCAAAGTACCACCGTATTCTAGGAGCCAGACACTCAGGTACGTTGCTAAAAAATATCTTGTTATGTACTTAATTTTATTTTATTTTTTAAATGGAAGGTTGTTTGTTGAATAAAAAAAGGTAAATAATATATGATATATTTGGCATTGAAGATAGCTAGTAATTTGAGTGATTCACCCGGCAAGTTTAAAATCCGCCCGATCCACAGAAGGAGGAAGAAGAAAAACAGACGGAAGATGAGGCGTATGAATAGGAATAGAAAGAAATTCAAGTGCAAAAAACGGGGAATGGAAAATAAAAAATGGGCGCGCTGGACTGATTGGAGTAGCTGCTCAGTCACTTGCGGTAAGGGACGGCAAATACGCTGGCGTCATTGTAGACGTAATTGCAAAAATGCTGAAACGGAAATGGAGGAAAAAACTTGTCAATTACCAGCTTGTGCACCTGATAGATTATTCGGTATATTCTAATTAGCTACACATATTCTTATTATATATTATTATTTTAATTTATTACTATTATTGTAGTTTTATATAAATAAATTTACAAAAATTTACTAATCAATATTAAGATTTATTTTTTGCATTGAGCTATCAAATACATCCTGTATTTTTATACAATTATTATCATTTGTTGTTGTTATTATTATTATTATTATAATTATTTATTAAATAAAAACAATTCGCAGAAAGTGTATTCACAATAATCGGTACCAGTTGGAGGAAAATATAATTATTTAAATGTAATTGTCATTACCAAACAATCAACTTGTTATTGTTTATAATCAACATCATTATCATTATTATCATCATTTATTTTTGCTTCACTAATTGATTTTATTGTACAATCTGACAATTTTCATGTCACGAGGACAAGTAAAAATTACATTTATTTAATAATATTATACAATACAGGAATTTACAAAATCATTTAGGTTTAATCTTTCCTGTATGACATTTACCCGTCATACATACTTCATTACAAGATTCATTTTTCACAATTAAAAAAAAAAATCAATAATAAATGCGGGAGAAGTTTATTAAATGATTGGAAAAAATTTTTTTTTTTTTATCGATTTCAGATTAAAAAGTTTAGTGGCTGTAAAAAATTAAGTGATAAAAATGCGGTGCAAAAAATTAACTGACTGACACTACCCGAAACTTGATATAAAGCCTATAAAAATTTCAAAACTAGCTCATCTGTACTCAATAATATGCTATATAAATAAAAAGTCTACAAAACTTTATCAACAATTGACCAAGCTGGCCAAGACTACAATTTATAAACGTTTTTATTTAATTAATAATAGGCAGTACAAAATCGTAGCACTAATACATGTCGGACGATTTGGACAAAATATATCACCAATTCGTTTTTTATTTGAGCTTTAAATACAACAAATGCTGATTATCATTATTAATATTAACTATTATTATTATTATATTTATAATCTCTTCGTTAACGAATTTACACTATCTACTTGGTTAAATTTAATAGTGAATAAAGAAACAATAATAATAATAATAATAATAATAATCATCATGCCTAGGCTCATTGCTTGCTTGTTAAAAAAATTTATAATAAAAAAAAATGAAATATTTATCCATCATATCTAAAAACATTAATTTTAATAGAATTGATTAATTAATTAAAAATACATGGACATAATAAATTCGGACGTGAAACTAAAATTTTTTTGATCCCCTAATTTCCATCCAACTGTCTTTTATTATCAACAGCGATGATAGACCTAATTTCTGGTCACTTGCATGCCTGGTATTTTCCTACACTGCCGCCGGCAAGTGCTCTGACATCGCGATCGGGGTCTTGTCGAAAATTTCGCACCTTATCATTAATCTGTTTAACCTGCTCCTCACTGAGAATATTGCTTATATTAACAACTTGCGTCGTCAGAGTCCTTACAACAGCAAGTCTGACATTAGGCACTACATCTGTGGATAATTCTAAAAGAGACGGCAGCAATTCATTGGCAAATCTTTCGCCGCTGATGGCGTCCTTGCTGATCAATGAGGCACAGAGTAATGCGAACGTTTGTCTGCAAGTCCATCGACTCGAATTAGCAGTCAGCATCTCCTCCAACTGTTGAATTATTGTCGTCACCAAAGTCTCGTCGCTGGACAAGTATGAAACTATCTGGGTAACAAGCTCCAGAGCCATTTGTCTTACGGCGGCAACTTTGTCCACCAGCAGAGGGAACGACAGAGGCGCAATGTGTTTAGCAACATCCTGAGGGGTGTAGAGTGTCACTGCTTCAAGCAGACGACAAGCAACTTCCTCGCGAAACCGCCAATTTCCATCGTTGTCGATCGACAGGAATGCCTGGAGGCGCGGCAAGAAGTGACAGCGATCTGCCGGCTTTAGAACTTTTAAAAAGGTCGCTAGATGTTTAAGAGCACCTATTCTAACTTCATCCAAGTCTTTTATAAACCCGTCGTATATCGGAAGCAAATCTTGCGCCGCTAATTCTTCACCCAAAATAATCGCCACCTCGTGAATACTCGAGGCCATAGTCCGACGTACTTTGTACTCACGAGCGTCTGACAAATATCCGTACGCTGTTTTAAGCATAGGCCAGTTTTCTTTTCCCAAAGTCAGCACGACAGCCGGAAAATAAAACGCGCAAAAACGAGGAATTTCAGCGCTGTTCCACTTTAAATTCCACCATGCCTCGGGATCTGCCATTGAGACGAATAAATTAATCAATTCCTGGGGAACAATTGTCTGGTGATTGTCATCAGACGAATGCTTTCTGATAAAACTGCGCTGTTTTGCGTCAGCCGATGACTCATAATTGTTTTCTAATGATGTATCTAATGATGTATTTGATATACTTATAGTTTCATTCATCAAATTATTTTCTTCTGAGGATTTATTTAAATTATTATTAACATTATTTAGCTCATCTTTAACACTGTCTTCCACTTTATCTTGTTTATTATCTTCATTTTCATTATCTTCATCATTATTTTTATTATCCTGATTGTCTTGATAGCTAAGATTTTTCTCAGTCTCCTGATTCTTCTCATTCTTCATCTCCTTGCTGTCCTGGGCTAAATCAGTATTAATCTCATTGCTAGTAACATCTTCGACTGTGACTTCAACCTGCGTATTACTGTCAGAATTATTAACCAACTCCGTTCTATCATCCGCAGACTCTTTGGGTGATTTATCTGGATGTATTGAATTATCTTCGGCAGATGAATCATTGCTCGGTTGTATGAGATCACCGTCTAAAAGAGGTAAATCCGGCGGTGGTATGTAGTAGTAGAGAAATGAATTAAACTGATGATGTTCTTCGGGCACCAGGTCGTCGTAAACAGTGGGCTCATTCAAAGAAACCATACTGTTCCACAGGTTCTTAGAAGACTCATTCAACAAAGAGTTGTCTTCTATACTCTGGTGATGCTTCTGAAATTCGTCATAAAATTTATTAAGCGTATCGACTTTCGAGGCTCTGTAGCCACTTCTTGATGTTCTGCGAGTTGTTACTGTTTTCGACTCAACAAACATGGAATTGTTACTATTCTTGGACCCAGAGTTGTTCAACATTTCGTTGTCCTGCTCATAATCTTCGTCTGATGATGCTTTGCAGGACATCGATGAATCAATCGAACCGGCAAAAGATATCCTGTTTGAAAAAAATAAAAATTGTCGGTTAATTTATCATCTTGACAGATTCTAGTGACAGAGATAAGCGTAAGGAAAATAAAAAAAATAATAAAAAAAAAAAAAAATTGCTATACATACATGTTATACCTGAGCTCAGTACCATGCTGGTCTGTGAGTATGAGTTCCCCGTAGTGATTGTACGCGATTCCAGTAAATTTCTTAGCAAATGTCGATATAAAAGGGCCGAGCATTTGATAGGCTGACAGTCTAACCCACTTGGATTCATCTTCTAGGTGACTAGCTAATATATCAGACAAAGTTGTGCGTCGTAATTCTACTGGGACACAGCAGGCTATTGATACTATCACTTCTGCGCAAGATTTTCTTACTGTCCACACCGAGTCCTTGCATAAATTTACATACATCGGCAACTATAATGGTAATTTGTTTTTGTTAATCATAAAATTAATTTTTTTTATAAATAAAATTATTTATTATTTAATTATATGGGTAATTCTCTAAAGGACGTTTTAAATCTGTACAAAATTGTCCGACTAAATTATTTTTGAAATTATTAGAACAAAAATTAACAAGGGCTACAAAAAAACTATCAGCTTAATGATAATAAATACACAGCCAATTTAATTTTTTTTTTTTTTTTTCAATATTTGTGTATCTTTTGCCATATAACAAGAGAGGGAACTGTTTTTTTGTTATTAAATTGAGAAAAATCAAACCAACTATTTCAATTCATTCAACTTTTCAAGTTTTTAATAAATATTTACATTTATTAGAATAATATTAAGACTTATGGATCCAATTTTATAAATAAATTATAAATAAAAATAGTTGCCAGGGGACTGAGTATGAACTTTGGTTTAATGAATTTAATGAAACAAATTAATTTTTGGTACTTTTCAGTGAAGAAGATTGTTAGTTAACTAATTAAGTTTATAAACATTATAAAAAAAAAAAACCAAAATTTATTTTATTTTAGTTTTCAATGCTTCAAATGGAAATATTTTTTTACTTTCGTAATAAATTTTTTTTAGTTAGAAAATAACAATTTTTTTAATAAAAAAAAAAATACCTGGGACAGCAAAAAACATCCTTATAGAGAATCACCCATATACACGCTTTGTATAAAATAATTAAAAATAATAAAAAATAAATGAAATCTTACCATTTTTTCATACATAGTTTCTTTAGTCATCGAGGTTGAAAATTCCCCAAAATGTATCGCACATAATTTACGTATAAAAAAATTAACATCAGTGCATAGCGATAAGTAGCGCTCTAAAAAAAGTCTTTCAGCAGTCTCGGGATCAAGTAAGGACGCAACTTTGCTCATTCCCTGCGAAAGAAAAAAACAAACAAACATTTATAAATTAATAACTAGGCTTTAAAATGTATACTTTTTCAGAAAAAATATCAGAATAAATTAATAAAGATAAATTGAATAAAATATAAAAATTGTTGTTTTAGTTATGTTACTAAAGTGAGGAAGGATATTTATCGTACCGTTTCGCTCATCAAAGCTGGCTGTGATATGAGTAAAAATGAACCACATCACAACCACTCTGATGGGCAAGACAGCCGATGAATCCTTTGCATGATGCTGATTGTAGTAACAAAAAATGTCGCGGTGAACGTGGGAAAAATAGTGGACTGTTGGTGACTGCTGGACGATTGCAGCAACACTTGGTCAAGTGAGGAAGGTCGTTTCCTCTACTCGGAAATCAAAGTCGATCCATGTTGAAAGATCAACTGTTTCTTCAATTTTATACTCAAAGAGGCATTGCTGCTCTAGGTACAAGGATATATTCTGTTTGTGAACAGCTCTCTGCTCTCTGCTGGCGGTAGCTCGCTGTCGAGGGAAGGAGGCCGGTGCACCGGTTAGGGCCTTGAAGAACAAGCACAAACAACAAGGTCGTTCACCGGTAAAGCAATATCCCTATTCGGAACTGATCAGGATTAATTTTTCTATTAAGGTGATACTATAAAAAAGGTAAATAAATAAATAAATAACACAAGTTTAGACTTATATACTTATTCTTAGATTTTTACAAACATTTTTCATTTATTTCCGATAAATTACGTCTTGAAATTTGAATTATTGACACCGCGACGCTCATCAAAGCTGGCTGTGATATGACTCTACAATTGCATACAACAGCCACTCTGTGAGCGATGCAGCATCTAATTATTGTCTCTTCTTCTTCTTCTTCTTCTTCTTTTTCTTCTTTTTTTATCTGAAATATTTAGTAATAAAATTCCAAAGTTTGTTGATAAAAACACCGATCCAATTTGTCAAAAATGGCTGTGATATGAACGTAAATAACTACACGTCACAACCAATTTGACGATTGGATCGCGTTCCTTGCTCGGTTAAATAAAATATACATCTGAAAAAAGCTTAAGGTTACTAGCAATATTTATCAAAAATAATAATTACACTTTATATTTAATAATAATAAAAATAATAATAGTAATAGTAATTAATAATCCATGATTGCGAGCTAAAGGTTAATGGCTTGGTAGATCAATAGTAATTTTGTTGATACTGAAGATTGGTTTTACGAGCCGAGCTCATCAAAGTGGCTGTGATATGATTTGAAACATTCCGCAACCAATTTGATCGACCGGACCGCAAAATGTTTTTTTACTAAAACAGCCCTCCATTCATTTGGTTATTCGTTTTAAATAATTATTAAACTGGTTCTAGGTTTAGTTGACTAAGGACACAATTTTGCTCATCAAAGCTGGCTGTGATAGTCTACGCTCTATAACAAACCAGCTTTGACGTTAAAAGCATGCCCATCACTTTCTACCTACAATATTTTTATTAATAAATAATAATATGCTAATGATACAGTAATTTTCAATTAATTTGCTTATTATAGAATTGCTAATTGGTGAACAACAAACGCCACATGAAAGACAAGGTAGTGAGACGCGAAAGTCGCATGATCATCTCACTACCCATGTCTTTCATGCAGAATTCGCTTTTATTATCTTAATATTATTTTCCTTTTTTTTTTTTTTTTTGTTATTATATTAATTAATAAAAATATATTTATTGACTTTAGTTACTATTAATTATTTTAAATTAATTACTATTATCAACTTACATCGATTGCAAAGTTAATGAACTCCAGTTTTGCTGGCTGGGCGCCCATCATCAAGAGTGTTGGTGCTACGACATGTTCCACGGAATGCTTGTCCAGGAGGCCGCGTTCGATTAGTGCCAACAGCGCATTGTGAGTTGATTGTCGCACCTAAACAATTTAATTTATTAGTTTTTAGAATTTTATTATTTCATTTTGTAATTATTCATTCTGACGTTTTAGAAATTTAAAATTTTATAAACTATGAGAAGAAAAAAATAACACTGAATTTTTAAGTATTATTTAACAGATAAATTTCTATAAAATTACATTTATGGTTTTGTACAATTTCTACGTAAGAAATTTTTTAAATTTGTTTTTGTTATGTTTGTTTATTAAAAATAAAAATTAAGTTAGCTGACATTTAAAAATTAAAAAGAATTTTTTTTATTGAAAAAATGACTACAAAAAAAAAGAAAAAAAATTGTCATTTGTTAAAAACTTGAAAAACTGTAAGTGCAATTTTTTAAAAATATTTTTTCGTTCTAATTTAATTATTAAAAAAAAATCAAAAAATTAAAAACGTCGGCTAACTTTAGTATCATTTATTAAAAAAATTATAAAATATATTTCAATTTAAGTATCTTGAAGAAAAAAAAAAAAAAAAAAAATTTAATGGTTCGAGTGCTGATTTATGAAAATTTTCCTTTGAAAATTGTATTAAAAATTATTAAAAAAAAAAATAAGTAAATTTTTTGATTTTCAATTATAAATTAATTCTTGTTAATTTCACAGATATTAAAAAATTATAATTTTTTGTCAAAAATTAATAAAATTTAAAAGAATTATCTTTCATACAAATATTTTTTTTATTTAGTCAAATATTTGGATAAAGCTTAAAAATATTTTATGAATTTATAAAAAATGTTAAGCATTGAGCATTTCCAAGAAAAATTTCCTAAATATTTGCTTACAATATCATAATACTATTTTTCGTTGCAAAAAAAAAAAAAATAAACTGTAAATATACATATGTATTACAAACCTGTTGATCGGAATCATGAAGGAAGTTAACAATAATATGAATAAGATGGTTCGACAAAACATTTCCGAATCTATCCGGCGCTTCTTGACAAATCATAGCGACATGGGGCAGCTGATCAACCAATTCCAGTCTCACTGCTGAATCTAAAAATTAAGAAAAAAACCCAATATTACTACAATGCATAAAAAAAATTTTTAAAAAATATTCAAAGACAATAATGAAATATTATTTATGAGGGTTTGCTGTTAAAAATAACCCAAGCTTATAACTGTGACTAAGAGCCGCCAGCAAAGCAGGTAAATTTTTTCTATTCTCCGAAAAATACCTTTGACTAAAAAAATTCCTCCGGATTAGTTCCACCGTAGCGTCCATTTTATTTCGCAGAAATATTATTTACAATTTTATAAATTATTAACTTTGTTTAAAATTTTTTAATTATATAATTAATTTACTAATAAATAAAATTATTATAATTATACTTAATAAATAATAAAATAATTATTAATGAAGAATAAACAAAAATTTCACAGCGACGCCAACTTAGGCGGGAAACGAAAAAAATAACTGGGACTTTTCTTGTACTCGCGATCTCTCGACGATGCCAGTCCGTTCGGTTTAAGCGCGGGGGTGCAACTGAAGCGGACCGCCGTAGATATAGACTATAGACGTTAGACTAGCATCTATCGAACTACGATGATCGTAGCACCTTTTCCTAGCTTGGCTAGCATTTGGTGCCTGGAAAACGGGTCCTACCCCCCCCCCCTTCCCTTCCGGCGAAAAAGGAACCGATGGTGGGACTGAAAGCGACTGGATAGCTGTGGTTGGATAATTTTCACGGAAATTCAACTTTCGCCCTCTATAGTCTTCCCTATCTCTTTAGCATCTCCTATTTTTTAGAGACTTGACATGCCACACGTGCTGCAACTAAACCATTTACAATCTTCCCCTTTTTCTTCGCTACCTCCCCCGATTTCTTCTCCCACATTTTGGTTATTCCGTTCATCTGCCGCTTCTAGCTCCAACTGCATATTAGTATACTAGGCAGTTGTGCCCTTCAGAAGGATATACAACTAAACAGAATAGAAGGAATATAAATAATAAATACTTATGAAAATAAAATGCACTATGCGCCAGAACGGTGAGCGCGTGCTAGAAAATTTTTGGGGGCGGATGGGATGATGACGGCTGTTCGGGTTCATCCTGGCATCCAGCTTTACGACTCTACTGTTGGAGAAAAATAGTTTTACTGAAATACAAAAGTTTGGACTATTATTTGGTACTGTACTCTCTTTGCTCTCTACTCTCTGCTCTCTGGTAGATACTCCTAAAGGGGATTTTGTATAGGCTTCTGGGCTCTTTGCACTACGAGCTTACTAACATCAATCATCGTGTCTTATCTTACATTTCCTTCTTCTTTTACTAGTACTTTACTAAAAATAAAAATATACATATGCTTGTTTTTTTTTCTTCTATTAATATAAATTTTTTAATAATTATTTTAAAGATTTTGATCGTTTACTCTGAGATGAAAAAATAGTTTTATTGAGAATATTTTCTTGCCTAAAAAATTGGTTGCAATGATTAATAGTTTTTATTTAAATTCAAGGAAAAGCTATTTGTTTTTTTGTCTAATTGATATTCTTAGGTCCAAAAATTTTTTTATTTATACGGGTAATTTCAACAAATTCTCAAGTGAAGAAATCTTTATCTGGAAAGTATTTTGTTTACTCTCAGTGTACTTGGATTTTTATGAGAAGAAAATGTAAAAAATTTGACGAAAAACTAGAAGAATTATTTCTTATAAAAAAAAAAAACAATATTTTAGTTTTAAATATTATTTAAATAAAAAGTATATCTCTAAACTGTAAAAATAATGATTTAGAATTTTCAATAAAAATGTGATCAATTCCAAAGTTTGCTTTTTTATCATTTCCATTAGAAGCCATAATTTTAATATTAAGAAAATTGTTAAATTTTTCATTTGAAACATTGAAATAAAAAAAATTAACTTTTTTCAATTGTTTTAGTTTCAGCTTTAAAAAAAAAAAAAGGCGTGATAATATAAACTTGAACAATTGTAAATAATTTATAAAGTATCTAGTTTGGAAATTGGCAGTAAAAACATTTCTAATATTTTAGATTTAATGATTGGTCAATAAAATGGCGCGAAAAAGATGAAATTTTATTTTTTCAACTTTGTAAATAAATAATAAAATTTTGAAAATTTAAATAAGTAAGTTGATATTAAAATTTAATAAACTAAATAAAAATATAGATTATTTCCAAAAAAAAATTAAGAAAATTATACTGAAAAAAATTAGCATGAATTAAATATTTGAATTTGTTTAAATAATTAAACTTTAATTTATAATTTTGAAAAATACCTTAAAATAATTATTGTAAAAAATTATAAAAAATTCTCCAAGTTAGATATAAATATCACAATAAGAGAGTGAATATAGCGATGCATCTTGAGTTCGCAGGGGATCCAAAAATATTCACCAGTTCAGCATGAGAAGCATCAGAAGCGGTAAGAAATTATAAAGTAAAGCATAGCACGAGTCAGTCCATATATATATATATATATACAGAAGGGTGATCTTTCTTCCGCCCTTGTATCTTCTTTTGGATCCGAGAGTATTTCGTCGTCGTTGTAAAGAGTATTGGGACAGAGGCTGGCACGTGTCACGGGGACCCAAGATGCGTTTTCGAGCTCCCCATCATCTCCATCCATGAAAGGAAGTTGGACTAAAAATACGACTATCGTTTCTTCTCCCTAATTTATTTTTTCTCCGGATGTAACGTACACGATTTATTAATTTTCTCTTATCATTTTCGAATTAATCGCCCGCAGCTATTCCGCCGATGCAATGTCGATGCCAAGACACTATTATAATATTTATATGGAATATTGTAACAACCCGTTTGTTCATTGATAAAAGAGATTTCGCGGGTAGTGTTAAAATTTAAGAGATGAAATAAATGAGCGAGCCATGGGGGTCCATATGGTTATTTTATTTATAAACACGCAAGTCTCCCCGTCTTGTTTTGTCAAGATTTTATTTTTTTTTCTTTACATTAACGCACTCGTACTACATTTCCGGTGACACACGTGCCTTTATATGCAGCGATAGTGAGCGAACATTACCATTTTTGGTTTTAAAGTATTTTTATATTTCTTTGTTGTTATTATTATTATTTATATTACTTGTCATTTTTTTTAAATATAATTATTAATGAGTACAAGGTTTACGTTTTAAAAAACTAAGGGAGTTAGATTGTAACTATTAGATTGAACAGTACTTTAATTTCATTAAATAAAAAAATATAAAATTTGGAAAACTAAAAATTAATTAAACAAAATATATAAAAAATATTAGTTTCTATTTTTTTTATCATAAAGTTGAGTAATTTTTTTTTTTTTGTTTATATATTACCAATTTTTTTATAATTTTTAAACATACTTATCAATTACTTCGAACGTAATTTGTTTTATACATAAATTTATTATAAGAACTGTATTTATTAAACTTGAAAATTTTTTCTGACAGCAAAAATAGTTTGCAAATTTACTTTCAATTTAAAATTTAATATATTTTTATAAATTTTCTTTTAATTACTTTTAAAAAAATTTTTAGAGCTGATGAATAAAAACAAAAGTTCACTTGGTCCAAAAATATTGCAAAGAAGACTGAAGTTGTTTTGAAGCAATAAGAATTTTTTTTGAGACAAGAAAATTTTACTTTATCTGAAATGATTTTTTTTTTTTACTAAATATTTTATTGTTAAAAATTATTTTGTGTTCAATTAACTACTCAAGAAGCTACATAATAACCAATTTAAAAATAATATAATGAATATTTACAAAAATATTATTATTGTATACAAATTTAGTCTATGTTTAATTAAGTTTCTTCATAAATTTGAAACTAAAAAAAACTTTACTCCAATTAAATAAATATAACCACTAAATTGTGTTTAAAGAAAAAACACTAAATAACAAAAATTGTCAAGGCGCTGCGGACATATAATGTATACTAAAAAATGCAAAATTAATTATAAGAGTAAGAACAGAAATGTGATACTAGTAATTTTGTATAGTATAAAATTATTATTTGTTATAAAAGCTGTAAGGAGTGTGATATACTAGATTAAATCAAAGATAATAGTAAGTGGATGTAATAAAATAAAATGTAGTGTAGAGAGTGGTGTGTACTTATAAATAACTAAGAGTGTACCAAAGAAAAATGAGTAAAAAGCAATTATTTTTGTAAATGTAATATGGTAACAGTTTTGTAAAACACTAAATATGGTGATACAAATAAAATTATATTTTATTCTATAACCACTAAATTTAAAAAAAAATATTGGAAGATGCAACTCTTTTTACATTTATAGCATCTCAGTTTCAATTAGTGCAGTGCAGTTTTAATAAATTAATCAATCAAAAATCATATAAATATAATTAATTATTAAATTATTGAAAGAAAAAGTGCAGCGACAGAGGTGCAAAATTATAACTAAAAAGGATTGACAAAACAATAAATTTCAATCCTCGAAACTAAAAATGAAACCCATAGAAATATAAATATGTACTAGTAGTGTAGTGTTTTAAAAAGCCAATTAATATTAAGACAAAAAATTTCGTTATTCGAACTTCCTGTTTGAAAATCACCACAAGAATTGGGATTATGAGTAAAGCTCTATATATATATATATACAAGAGATCGCGAGGATGCCAGATTCACGACCGCAATATAATGAACAAAGTTTTTATCCGAAATCGCTACTTTTTCAAGTTAATATTCAAAGCGCGTGCCGCAGTTGTAGTTTATTTCCGTCACCCAAGCGGCACAAATTTTTTTTTGTTAATGTTTTGTTGAATTTAAGTTGACAATTATTAATTTTTCAACTTTCTGTTGAGTAATATCTATCAAAAAGTCAACATTTTTTTTGTGACGCTTGAGCAAAAAAAAAAAAAGTGTTGTATCGTTGTTAAACTGTCAGTGTTACACTGTTATAATTTTGATCATAAGTCATTACTCAACAGTTTTTGTTTTTGTATTTGTTGATGTTTTTCAACTGTCATGGTTAATATTTTTAACGTATAATTATATATAATTACATGTGAAAATATTTTTTAGAGTTAAATTATAATGTTATTTTTATTATTATTACTAACGTAAAAACTCACCTGTATCGTTTACTAATTTGTGAACTGGTTGCATTACTTCCGCGACATTTAAATCCGTTCCGTTGTCTACTGCGCCACGAAATATTTCCAGTAAAATTCGGCCCACAAGTTGTCTGTAATAAAAAAAAATAAAAAAAAAAAAATTAATTAATTAAAAATTTTCATTTGAACAAAAAAAATTTTTTAAATCTATGTAGAAATTAATTTTTAAAAAATTACCGCGGAAATTTGAGTCATTTTGAGAAAATGCGCAGCCAAATTAACGAGGTTAGACTTTGTTTAGATATCCGATACGTCGTGGGTATTAGAAAAGTAAAAGAAAAACTCAAGAAAAAAATTATTGCGACGTAAGTAGATGCGTAATAAATTCCCCACTAAGTGTATTCTGTATGATCAACAAAACGGGGGGGAAAATTTTTCCAACCGAGTGGTGGGGGAAGAGTCAGTGGAATAGAGAATGAGGATTGGCTATAGATCCCCCTACATGGTCAGTCAATCATCGGGGTGGGAGACACGCGACAACACGAGTCGCGGACGAGTATACTGTGCTTCCATGTCTTTACGCCACGCCTACGACACCCGCGCAAACATGGCCGCGCGCGGATTTCTCGCGACGTCGCGGTCTCTTTTTGCTCTAACTCTAATGCCCATCACCGTTTTATTTTGATTTAATCATACCGACCCTTGGTAAGGTCCTATTTATATTACGTATTATTAGTTGAATTTATATAAGATAAATTAGAAAAAAAAATTTTTGTCAATTTTTTAATTCCTTAAAATTGATCAAATATTTGAATTTTCATCTTTTGACATTTAAACCTGTGAAAAATTTTTCTATTTAATTTTTTTTTTAATTTTTAAGACTGTGTTAAATTTTATATTTTAATTATTGAGGCAAATTTATTGTAAAATTTTGTATTTTTTCAAAAAAATTAAAATTTTCTGTCTTTTTATAATAATAAATAATTCTTTTTACCGAGTTAAATTATAATTACTTAAAAATTTTAATTTAAAATGGAATGTAAACTTTTTAATAAAAATGTACTAATAATTATAATGAAAAGTTGTAACTTAAGGGTAGGGCAGTTTGTGTTATGAATAAAGTGCCAGTGGCACAGTGGCTTCGCTTATGTCGGTAGTGAACTAATCGTTAATACCCCGAAATTCGATCGAAGCCATGTAAAACCCGAAGACCCTTAATCTACCCCATATACATCGTCCAAACAAAACAATGTAGAAAAAAAAAATAAAAATAACAATTAAATTCGGAGCAAATTCTAACAGAAATTTGAAAAAATAACGATTTGTTAGTCATTTATATAAAAGATAATTTATACAAGTCATCTCGTTCATCTGTCGATTGCCAGGTGTTACAAATAATAATTTTGTGTAGAACAAAATTTAAGGACTGCAACATCTGTCACTATTAGTCTATATATAAATAGAAAAATTAATATTGCAAAAAATAGTTATTTCAGGAGGAGGATTTTAAAAATTTGGGAAAGTTTATTTTTAAAGTTTAGTTGATACATATATACATGTGGCTCAAGGGCAGAGGGATAGTAGCTTTGGTATTAGGGGCGAAATGAGGACGAGATAAGTTTTGAAAGAAGAAGGAGAGGAATGCGGTCGTTTGGAAAACTATAAATCAATAGAAGCCGCCTGGAGTACAGGACAGGTGCGAGAGTAGAGGAAAATACTACGCCGGCCGGCTTACCACCCGAAGCTAATACAACACACGAAACAGCCCTGGGTAAATCTCGGTGGGGTCGCAATATACCTAGACATCACAACAATACTCGCTCGTGTCTCTACTACGGTCATGTCAAATAAAATAAACCAAACCCATAGTCATTCAATTCGACAACCCAACGAAAAAGTTGCTGTTAAATTTGTCAAAGTTTCTGTCAACTGAGTAAATAAATCTTACATTTTTGTCTAATCCATTTCCTCTTTGCGTTCAGATTTTTTTTTTTGAAATTTTAAAATTCTATCCTGGAGTTAAGCCAACAAATATTTTTAATTTTTGTTTAAAAAATTATGAATGAAGACAAAATATAATTGAAATAAATTTCAGAAGGCAATATTTCTTCCGACACAATAATGTGACATGAACCCTTGTAAAAAATTTTTTTTGCATTTTTAGTTCAAGTTTTTATGGCTAAAAATTTACCCTTAAGAAAAAAAAAATCGTAAAAAATTTACTCAGATTTTTTTTAGGAAAATTTTTCCTGGAATTTAAGGAAAAAATTTTCTTTGCATTTTTAGTTCAAGTTTTTATGACTAAAAATTGAAATTTATAAAAGAAAATTCCATAGAAAAAAATGATTCAAAATTTTTCTTCAGACACAATAAATTTACATAAAAACTTTTAATAAAAACCTTTCGTGAAAAATTTGTTCCTGAAATTTAAAAAAATAATTTCTTTGTATCAAGTTGGAACTTTTTCTTCTCAAACAAAACTTGAAAGAATTTATTTGAAGTCAATTTTTCTACCAACAAAGACAAGTTTCTTCAGTGAAAAATTAAAGATTTTTCAAAACTAAAGTGAAATGATTTATTTTATTTTTTTTATTCCGAACAATTTCTTGTAAATTAAAATTATAATATTTTTTAAAAATTATAAACAATTTAAAAACTTGAGAATCAAATTTTTACAAGAATTCTTTTATTGAAAAAAAAAATCAGATATTTTTAAAATTTTGAGAAGAAATAAAATGGCGCGAAACGACAGTTGTTGGCGTAACAGAAACAAGCAAAGTAAAAGGGTCCTCTGGCGTTAAATCGGTACGGGGAGTTGGTAGCATCCATACGCTACATCTACATCAGGAATGTTGTGTTGTGGCGCAGTTGCATTTTAGCCATAAGAACGAAAGAAGAGAAGAGAAGCATCTACATCAGGATGATCAGGAGTAAGAGTAGGAGGCGGACAATGTGCTGAAGGAGAGAGAAGGAACGCAGTCAAAGTCAATGCACCTCTGGAGAATGCACGCCGCGGCGTTAACGCGTCCCTCGCCTTCAGTACACACTATAAACTACAAACTACACACAGTACTATCCCTTACACGATACACACAAGCACGTCAAAGCGCATTCTCCTGTATGCATATATCATATAATATGCACGCATCAACATCGAACTCGACTCGTACTCGATTGAATTAAATACGCAGTTTGCAGAATACAACCCATGCGTAGGTAGTCGGAGTGACCGGTAGAGTAAACAGCCAACTCTAAACATCCCTTTATCCGTATTGTACCATATACTATCTGCATCGTGTACTCTTGATATGATGCTTGTCATGTGATTGGTAATTGTCTATCTCTTCAGTGATAAAAAATTAATTAGATTCAAAAGACAAAATATTTAACATAAAAATTTTAAACATAAAATTTTTTGACGCAATGACAAAATTTTTTATTACTGTGTAAAGAGTTCTTCAAAAATGATTTCTTTGATTTAAAATTTTTTCATTTAAATTTCTTCTTTTAAATGATTTAGATCTACGATAACTTCATATTTTTGCGCTTGTTTTAAAACAAAAAATGTATTTTTAATTAATTTCTTGGTTAAAAATTTTTTTGCTAAATTCAAGACAGAAAATGTTAAAATAATTTTTTTATTTTAATTTTCTTACTAAAAATATTTTGATTGAAACAAATTTGTTCTTGCTAAAAAACAATTGTCTCTCTGAAGACTTTTTCGGTTAAATTAAACATTTCTTCCGTTAAGAGAAAAACCAAGACATTAAATAAATTAAAACTTATTCTTGATCGACCTCAACAAAAGATTCGTTATCTTTCATAATACATATGCATTCGAATTTTAATAATAAACTAGTACTAAAGAAATTTTATGTAAGAAGAAATACTGTTGGAAATATTGTTCTCGGTTTACTGTTTGCGATATACTACAGACTGCGGTGGATTTTATTATGCATTGTGGCCAGCTTGGTAAGGCTGCTGTTGCCACTATACTCTTCTTAGAAGCTATAATGCACCGAGCCCTGTAAAAAGAAGAGGGGTTAATGCGCAGTTTCTCTCTACATACGATAGAACCGGGTGGTCCAAGCTCAAGATGTAAACAACTGAGTATAGTACATACTTGAGTTTTTTTCAAATTGTATAAACAGAACTGGACAATTTTTTTTTTGAGATAAAGTTGTTTGGAAGAAAAAATTTTATTTCTAAAATAGCTGACTGGTGAGAAGATATTAAATGTGAATAAGTAACTAATTGTTAAGAAGAAATATTTTTTTTATTGAATTAATTTGAGAATTTATATTAGGAATTATTAAATTTTGTTTACATTAAAAAATTAATATTAATTAAAATCTTAATGAAGAAATAAACATTCATGATATAATAATTAAAAAATTTCTGAATTTTGCTTTAATTTATTGAAATTTACAAAAACTTGAAATCTTTTTTTTTTTTAATTTTGAATTATTTAATTAAGCTAAAAAATTTTTTTAAGTAAAAGTTAATTAAAAAATCAATTCATACTTAAAAAAAAAAAAAAAAAATTGTATGTAGAAATTTTATCAGTAATTTGTTAATAAACATTAAAAAAATGTTTAATTGTTGATGTAATTATTTTTGGAGTAAAGTGACAATTTTTTCTAGAATAATTAAAAATAATAGTTTATATAGTAATAACAATGACGTTTGTGTGGTTGTAGTTGGTTCAGTCATTCGTCACTCGGTCGTCGGCCAGAGTGCGTAGTATTATATCTCGCGTGAGTGGTGCCATCTGAGTGTGTGTATTTGGAGGTAATGTCAGTATTGAGGTAAGGGGAAGTGTACCGAATACCGAACTTGAGCATAAGTAAGACCGAGAGAAGAAAGAAAAGAGAAGACAAAAAGGGAGAAGAGAAAAGATATGACGGCTGTGCTGCAGAATGAGGGAAGCGTGAGTGTGTGTGTTCACTCTCGCGTAACCGTCTACGTCGGCACGGATAGTGCGGATAGTGCAGGAGGGTGAAGAGCGAAAAGTGGAGAGGGATCGCAATGTAAGTAAAAGAGTAATGAGTAGAAAGAGCGCAAGTGTGAGTGTAATGCGCATAGCAGCGATAAATGTATACATAGGGTTATACCTTTAGTGTTAGTATCATAATATAG